CACACACACACACACACACACACACACACATACACACACACACGTACACACACACATACACACACATACACTCACACACACTCACACACACACTCACGCGCGCGCGCACGCACGTACACAAACACAATATCCCTAATCCCACAAATACGCCATCAGACACTGCATGTAAAAATAGCTTTACAAAGGAAATGTCTTCCTCCGTTAATGACTGTTGAACACAGCCGCTCCAGAAATGACATTAGAGCAGATAAAACACCACGCTTGGTGAAAAAGAAACAAAAAAATCGATATAGAAATAACTTTTGTGAAATGCCCCAGCGAAAACAACAATCAATAATGATTCAGGTCTTGGCTTCCTGGGCAGAAAAACCCATTCTCCATGCAGGACGGGAGGGAACAAAAACGCGCAGTTCAGCGAAATAATACATTAAAATAGCAGTTTTTCAACGCCATGCTCTAGTCATCCAGTGCGTGTCCACCAAGCGAAGTATCGCACAAAGCCAGTGGAGATTTACAGAATGTGAAAAGACAAATTTAATGTTCGTCATTTGATGTTGAAATACCTGACCAGTTAACTCTGGTTATGAATTTTCAGCTGTTTATTTGACGTTCCATTTCAGAAACAAGTTGCCCTGTTGTCTCCCCCAGAACAGCACTAGATGCATAATTATAGTTAAACATGAATGTACATGGGTCTCTAACAATTGAGACAAAACTCCACCACAGGTGAGGTACCAATCATACAGCACACGTTCTCTTGTGTAGTATCATTTTTTTAAAAACAACTCAATTCTCTTCTCTTCTAATCTATTCTCCTCCCTGCCGATCTCTCAACCAAGAAAAACCCAGACCCCCACTTTCATAACATATAGCGAAGTCAGTTTGTTTAACTAGATAACCGCTCAAAATGTTGGTAAAAACGAAGTTGAGAACTTTTGATCGAAACATCACAAGTTGAATGAAGACCTACTTTCCATTGACAGTTATATTCTTCGTAAAAGACTGTTGCTACCTACAACTGTAAAGAATGTCAACGTGGAAGGGTACTAAGAAGCAAAAGGTTCGTGTTCGCATTGATTGTTTTTGCACAAACAATGAAGCACGAGCAGCATTATTCTAATGATATGCACTTTGACTATTCTTCAGAGAGGATTTACTGTTCACAATATTCCCGTTCATGTTTGTGCCTCTTTATACCATCTTTGAAATGACAATCATGTGGGGTTTGCAAAAATAATAGATACTAGCAAAGTTCATGCTAGCAACAAAAGTACACTTACATAACTGGGCTTGCGTAAAACATATCCTCTGAAACTGGTGATTGTATCAATTTCTCTTTTTTTTTATCGTAAAACAGATAATTTCAGATGACATAAAGGGTAGCAAGATTATACTCGTAGCCAAAGAGAAATAAACATTCTAAATAACGTTTACAAATCTTTGTTTTTTATTACTTGTGTCTCTGTGTATGTGTGTGTATGTGTGTGTATGTGTGAACGAGAGAGATGGAGAGAGGCGCGGGGCGATAGAGACTGTGTGTGTGCGTGTGCATGTGTTTGTGTGTTCTTGCGTGCGTGCGTGCGCGCCATGCGCGTGTGCGTGTGCGTGTGTGTGTGTGTGTGTGTGTGTGTGTGTGTGTGTGTGTGTGTGTGTGTGTGTGTGCGTGTTCAGTTTTATAAATAAATGTAAATTTTTAGGAGTAGACCAATATCATTCATCTTTTGTGTGCATGTCTGTTTCTAGCGTCTCTATTTCAGTACATTAGGGGGAAAAAGCTATACACGCGAATTCTTAGTTGAACCACATAAATGTCAGGAAGCAAAATTTCTTTTAACATAATATTTTAAATGATTTTCATGGAAATCCTTCACAAAATCTTAAAGTACAAATTAACTTAGTCTATATTTTTGAACTGTTCAAAGTTCTGAGTCACGTCTTGTTCATTTCATGTGACCTCGGCTTCGTTTTCAGTGGTCAAGTTAGCGCCACTGTGGTCAGCTTCTTGTCCATCTGTGGAACCCTGGTCAGTGCCAGACGTCCGGTCGCGTCGCGCGATGTCATTGGCCACAAAGATCAGACCCAGAAATCCCATGACGAGGAGAACGAGAGCAACATACAATGACGTCATCAAGTTGTGTGCAAAGATTGAGGATAGGAAGCTGGCGATCAATCCCAACCCTTGACACACACGGAAGCCGGTCATGGCTGTATCCTTTTCCTCGGTAGCGTAACGAGTGACCACGGCTGTGGAACAAAGATTTAGAGTTGTAGTGTTTTGTCCAACAGTGAAAGCTCTCATCGAATTATATTTTGTCCTGGTGACACCTAAATCAAATGCAATTCATGTGGATTTGGCCTCATATCTGCTGTAACACCATCCTTCGTGAACGTGTTTATTACACAATGGTGTTTTAATTATAACAATTGCTTTTTCAGGTTGGGAGAAGGAGTGGGAAAAGGAGTGGGCGGAGAAGCAGAAGATATTGACATATCTGAAGTAAACAACAGACAGTTGAATTTGGGGTTTTTATACAGCAGTACTGACATAATTCGGTATGATAAGCTCAGCAACTAGACGGGAAGTTTAAATACATTGAAAGAAAAGTCAACTTTTGAACGGCAATAAGAGTATGTTAAGTAAAGTTTATAAAGACTAATACCGAAGTTCACTTCATTTGAACAAGAACCAAGAATGGATTTTCTTTCGAACGTTTGGCATATTCCCTTCATGTACTGGCTCTTCTAAAACCTCTTTGGCAGTACAAAGGTCGTGGATCTGGACAAATACTTCTCTGGGCAACGCTGGTACAAAAGCCTTAAAATCTTGAATATCATTTTCAGGGGTGCAGAAAAACCTATATTATCCGTGGAACACGTATTATTGTAGATGCAACTTATCCCTTTATCCTGCGCCCATTACACTTTCTAGACAGTTTCGTTTTGCAGGCAAAAGGACGTGAGTTTGATTTCCAAGCCAGAAAAGCATCTTATCTAGTACTTCTGACTCTCTGATGGAGTATTTAAAACAGTTAAGGTTGACACACACAACCAGAGTTCCAGAAGCTCGCTTCATTGATTGTCTAGCCACTAGACTGTGCCTGTGATAGCGTTAAAGGTTTTTAACCAGTCAAGCACATGAGCACACACAGCCACTACCTACAAAGTCGGCAACACAACCCCAGCTGAAAGAAATGTTTAATTATGGTCCTTGCGTATGATATGATTATCTTCATCTTTCATCCCAAAGAGCAATGGAACAAAAATACAATATAGACTCCAAGCTTTTGCGCGCAAAAGACAGAAGTTTGATTCCAATGTGGGAATTTTTTAAAGAAGCTCATGTATCTCTGTCGGTGTGCTGGGCTGATGCACCCCTCTCAACCTGGGCTGGCCCTGACAAAGAGAGCCCTGGCACTCCGCCTCATACGTTATTTAATTGTGTTGATTTGGATAGTAAAACACTCACTATAACAATTACAAAAGATCCAGTCGTTCAAAGCAATGGGTGATGTATGTACAAATATCATGTTTTGTTACGAATTGAGTAAATTGGTATAACACTATCAGGATTAACTTCACTCTTTGATAACATTGTTCCCATTTTTCAATAATAATTTCACAATATTAATAAAGACTGCCACGGACAAGCGATCTTGGGTGAATAGAATATTCGATTGTATGACTTAAATGTTTTGTCTATGGAACTCATTTTATAATGTATAATGTCTCTCACTCAAAATGAGTCCATGGATCGGTTTGAATATGGAAGCAGGGAAAAATGCAAATGTAACAGTTCGATACTTTCAGGTTCACGATGCTGATTTTATCTATATAATGACCCTTAATTAAGCCCCTCGTTTGTCCATCGTGTATTTAGTCCAACACTTGGCCGTATCCATGAGTTCCTTACACCCCATGAGTCGTTTCTATACTAAGACTCGTGTTCCAACCAATCCCAGGCACTTCATTATTAGCTCAGCTGGGGTCATGCTGGGAGTTCTTGTATTTTAATTGATAGGGGAGTTTTCAAGACGACCTAGCCTTGTCCTGTTGAAATGGACGTGAGGTTATGGTGTGCTGTTACTTTAATTGAAGGGGACGTTGAACACGTACCATACCGTACTAATCTCGAAAGTTCCTCCACACGTAGGCAAAACTGAGTTTCAAAACAATAATGCATGAAGTTGATGTTGCCTTTAAAAAAACGCAAAGGGGAAGACATACGAATACTGAATAAACGTACCCTGTGACTGAGCCTGCAGAGTTCCATCCGCGAGCCCCCACATGGCAGTGTACAATAGCAGCTCCGATGATTGGCTGGGACCTGGTTTCCACAGTGACGTCAGAATGAGCACCCCGATGTTCATCAGGAATCCTGAGAAAGAGACAGAATTCAAAGCTTAGAACTTTTGGATTGCAAAACTAACGAAGGTGTAAAAATGCGTATTGTCTGTTTCGTTTACCGTATTTACGCAAAGTAAGCATTACTTGGTTTGTGGGTATTTTAACTCAACTGCCGGTCAGGCCCTCCGTGGTTATATGGGATGCTAACCGATCCAGTCACTTGCGCCCAACCTTTGACCCGTCGGCACGTGTCTGTTCTCCGGGAAAGAGGCACTGGTAGCGGCTATTTTGTGCTCTTCGCTGCGCTGTGAATTATTTTGAGTGTGTGTGTTCCCCTGTCCCTTGTTTTCGAAGCGGATTCGGTAAGGCATAAAACTTGTATATTTTTTCTTGCTTAAATTACTTGTATTATAATACTGCTATAATATAATTTTTTACTCGTGTTTCTACAATTGTTCCATAATTCATTCACTCTTGCTTTCATGTCACACCTCTTGATGCCATTGTCGTTGCCAGTTCTAGCTAACGCCATTAAACCTTCTCAACGTTCAGTATTTCGAAAGCTTAGTGAAAATAAATCCGGCCGAGTGTGAGGAGAAAAGACTGCAAAAAAAGGTGGGAGGGAGGGGGGGGTAGCAGAGCAGTTCAAAATATACCAACAAAACATACATCTCCTAAGCATATCTAGGACTAAACGACCCTATAACATTGTACGGCTGTACATGTCATCAGCGTCCGACTCCGTTGAGGTTAAGCTAAGCGGAAGGAGAATCGTTGGAACTGCTTGCTTGTCCTTATGCCTGACAGGCAACAAAATGAGTTTTATTATTCACCCTTCTTTTTTCACTCTCCGGGTAGGCCTGCGAATCTTTCTCACCAAGTGCCACATTAATAGACAAGGGTCTCTAGGGACATTGCTGTTCTGACTAGGCTTAATAACAGCAATACCAAAGAGAGTTACCATTCCAGTAAAGTCAAGCCTCTAAAACTACTGGTAATTTAAAATTGTTTTCTCCCTCACAGAATACGATTCAGATCACTTGAAGGAGAGATACGTCGACCCCTTCTGCCGCCAGGATGGAATGAGTGAGATATAGTGTCATATGTGATAGACTAGGATACTCACTCTAAACCCTTTCACCAGTCCTGCAAATGGGAAGTATTTTATCATTAAACCATTGGCAAGGCAACGTGGTGAAATCAGGCGCTCGACAAATTAATGAAATTAAAGAAATAGCCATTTTTCTGCTTGCTGGGCAGTTTTATCTTTTTATTTTCTTTTTTTTTTTTGGCTAAACACCGTCTATGTACATTCAAGAACACATTTCTGTTTGGATTTTACTGAAAACTTTGATTAAAAGGATAAAAAATGTAACTTTTCAGTTACCACGGGCTCTCAAGTTAAGAAATAACCAAACTTTGGCGACCATTTTCTCGCTAATTTAACCTCTGAAACTAGGCGACCTCTACCCCCTTCAGTTGCATATATCTTGTCTTCTGTTCAAGATAAATGGATATTTGTTCCTTCGAAAGCAAGACAAATGAACAAGGTTTAAGACGATACCAATAACTCCATATGCCCAAAAATTGACGAGCGACTGATTCCACTACATCGTAATACAGAGAGAATCAAGCGGTATTTTCAAGCGTATATCAATTAATGTAAGGCGAAAAAAAGTTTACACTTCCAAGAAAATAATTTTTTTAGTTTACTATAGAACATTTACAGCCAAAACTCACTATACGTTTTTATTGGTATAGGAAAGTTTGTTCCTGTCAATGTTTATTTCAGATGTCGCGTCATTTAGTCACAGTGAATTGCGTAAACGCCTTCAAACTTGTTGACAAAACAATGCTGATGACCTTAGATTAAATACAAATGTCCATTGATGTAGGTGTTTTCAATTCTCTGAGGGAGGCTATAAGGCAATTTTTCAGGGCAGTTTTTCTTTTATGACAGTGACCTCAGGCAAAATGAAGAATTTACATAATTATTTAAGCGGTAACTAATCGCGCTCAGAGATCAGCTGATATTTTAATTTTTACAAGCGATGTCTTCCTTCAGGCTCCAACATCAATACTCTGTCGTGACCTAAGCTCTTTTACAACTGTACAAAAGACAAGTGCACCAATTCAGGCATCTAAGGGCAACAATCACAGATGATGGAAGAAGTGAAAAAGAAAGAAACATAACACCAGCAGCTGCTAAATGAAGATTCGGCCAAATGTGCAAACTACTTAAATCATCTCTCACTTTAAGAAAGAAAATGCTGGAATGTTGCATCTTCCTCATATTCCTATATGGCACAGAGACCTGGACTTTGACAAGGAAAGAAGAAAACAAAATAAATGATGAGATGTGCTACCGTAAAATGACAAACAAAGAGGTGTGCCACAATCTGCACACAAAACAGACCCCGCTAAGCAAAATAAAAAGTTAAAAAATACAATACTATTGCCATTTAAAAGGGATTATAACCTTTGTCAGAAATGACTTACAGGGTAAAGTAGAGCTCCTTAATTGGCACCCCACAGACGCACATAAAGTCACCCTGTGGTATGGCAACAGCAAGCTCATACTTTATCTATTGTCCCCCAAGTAACACTCTGAACTTCTTGGAACAGAGCACTATCTTTAAGAAGACGGTCATAGCTCGTGACCTTAATGGGCACTCCCCCCTTTGGAGCTATGCTGACCAAAACAACACAGGTAAGAGGATTGAAGAACTATGTCTGTGTTCTAACCTCATCCTTCTTCAAGATGAGGATTCAACCAAAACACTTCTTCATAGGAGACATGGGACCCTCCACAGACCAGATCTCACCTGGTCTCTGCTGATTTACACAACAATTGCAGTGAAGAGGTGCTAGACTGTATATCTAGTGACCATCGTCCCGTTCTCACGAAAATCAGTATACTGAAACACAGACAAAGGAAAGAAGAACCCGTTGGAACTTCAAGAAGGCAAACTGGGATCTCTTCTGAAAAACAGCTGAGGACACCGTTAAACTGGATGATCTAGACAATAAAAGTATAGACGCCCTTAATAGTGAACTCAACTCCACCATCTTAGATGCTGCAAAGAAGAGTATCCCACAGGGGTGCAGAACCAACTATAAACCCTTTTGGAACGAGCGCTTGGAGAAAGCTACAAAAACTAAAAATGATGCCAGACATGAATAGGAGAAAGATCTAAAAAAATATGGACAAGAAAATTAGATGCAAAAAGGCCGTAGCAGAGGCTAAACTTGTCACTAAGGAATCTAAGAAGGGAGCCTGGACGCAGATATGAGAGGGACTCAATTTACATCAAGGTGGACGTGAAGCTTGGACACTTCTAAATAACCTCACTGGCGAAAAAAGGAAAGAAAACCCCAAACACACAGAAACCGAAGTTCTCATCAGCGAGTTCATAAAAGCCGAACACTTCAATAAACATTTTGCCTCCATTAACAAGAGCAGCAAAAGGAATGACCTGGACAGGGGTCTACAGAGTGTTCTGAAAGGAAAAGAGAGAGATTTGATGACACCGAGTATCTTCCAGGACTTCTTAATTAAGCGAGAGTTGGACTGTGCAATCAAGAAACTGAAGAAGCGAAAAAGCCCAGATCCTGATAAA